TTACTTCATGATATCCTTTCTCTAAATCAACAATCAGGCAATATATTTTCTCACATTTATAAATTTCTCAATGATCTGCTAGAGACCAAAACTCTAATTGGAGTTATCTCAGTCCTGCACAAAGTCACACTGCACTTCCCAAATTTTGATCATCATTATTTCTTTGATTATTTTTTTCTATCAGAAAACTGCCAAATACTTTGCAAATTACACTTAGCAAATTAATCTCTCACTACTTCTGAGATATTAATAAGCCGAGGTGGCGCAGTGGTTAAATGCAGCACTGCAGGCTACTTCAGCTGACTGCAGTTCTGCAGTTCGGCTGTTCAAATCTCACCGGCTCAGGGTTGACTCAGCCTTCCATCCTTCCGAGGTGGGTAAAATGAGGACCCGGATTGTTGTTGGGGGCAATATGCTGACTCTGTAAACCGCTTAGAGAGGGCTGAAAGCCCTATGAAGCGGTATATAAGTCTAACTGCTATTGCTATTGCTATTGCTATATTGCCCCATTTCCCTCAAAACTCTATTTTCCTTCTTTCATTATCACTATTACTTGCAGTATAATATCAATACATTTATTTTGGGAGTATTGTCTTATCATATCACTCAAAGAAGAATAGATAACTGAAATAATGCTATACAAGGACTTTTTCTAGAAGTTAATTCTAATAGACATCGATTTGTATCTTTATCAGGGGCGTCAAATATTGCACAAAATTGATTTCTGCCCAGATTATTTTTTTTTACATGGTGCTTTCAAGGGAAAAAATTGCATTTTAAGGATGTAAAAAGTTATATAAATAATAACTATAATAAATGTTTTCAAATTGTTTTTTCTAATCTGGAATTCCTCTTTTGTATACCTTCTAAATTTGGTAAAATTGATGGGAATTGATACAAATGAAGCTAATAGTTCATGCATAGCTTTGGACATTCCAGTTAATCCACTTGTAGTTCATATGGACGGGACTGATGAGCTCTGTCCTCCCCTGTAAAGGAGCCAGCAGGTTTAAGTAAGTATTATGCAAAGTGCTTTCTAAAAGTCCTACAAGCAGAAAAGGAGGGAAGAAACTTCTCCTTGGTTCAATACAAATAAGGAACCATGAAGTATGGGGGAGGAGAGAGATTCTATCTTATCATCTGCTTTGCAAGTATGGATCTTAATAGAAGGAATGAAAAGGATGAGTTGGCATTTTATCATCAAAGCAGTTGCTTTAATTCATGGGGACTTGGGCTCCTCCTATAGCTACCAAAGGGCAGGCAACTTTCCCCTATGAGCCTGAGAAGATTTAAAAAAAAGGAATTCAGTTCAAATATGTGATGTGAAGTCATTTTTTCCAAAAAAAATTGTCCGCTCCAGCCAGCAACAATACAAAGGAGGAGAGGAAAGAACAGAAATGGGCAGGTACCTTGAAAAATACATTAGTCACTTGGGGCTGACAAGTAAACAAACAAGGAAAAAATAGCCAAAGTGGCTGCACTGACATGTTTAGAAGGTGACTCATAGCCCATGCTGACTAGTAGTCAGAAAAGCCAAGGCACACCCACAAGGACATTCTTGCAACTAGCTGGATGTCAAAAATCAGATCAACTTTTTCATCATAGTCAATCAGCTCTTTCACACGAAAAAAGTGGCAGGATCTTTCCGATGGCCATCACACGCTACAATGCTATGTTTAATGAGCATGGGCTCTATGAGAATTTCCTCTGCCCGGTCGAGTCTTAAAAGAACCTGGTGGAGAAGAGTGCAGCATTCTTCTCAATCCCAAATCTTCCAAAACTGCCAATCTATAACAGTAAAATTCCCAGCAAACCTTCTCCAAGGACATTGTAATGCATGACATCCAGTCAAGGAAGGCTTAGGTAGGTTTTGTAAGGTAAACTACTAAACCTATTAAGAATTGAGTTTGCCATTTCAGTTCTTTTGAATCTTTCTAAAATATGAAATTCCTAAACTGAACAGAGCACTGAAGATAGGCCTAATCAATTATTTGGAATTATTGCTTCAATGACTTCTGTGGATTTTATTTATTTATTACATTTATTTTGATCCCCATGGACTCCCCTTGGTATTCAAAGAGAAGGACCCACATGTTTTTTTTTTCCTGATTGACATTAGTTTGTATGAAATTTCATTATGTTATTTTGAGCCTACTTTAACTGATCATTCTGAAAGTTGTTTTGTCTTCTAGAGTAATCACTTAGGGCTCTGTACTATCCAGGTATGAACATAGAGTATAGAATATTCTACATTATTTTTGTTATTATTAGAAGTCCTGATTTAACAGTCCCGGTACATTGTTTACCATTAGTTGCTTAGTCCACAGCAGCAAATATATAGAAGCTTAAGTAAAGTTATGTACCTGCCAAAAAAAAGGAAACATGTTAGTTGGCTTTTTCGATGCATTAGTGAGTTTTCTTTGGCAACAGTACAGAGCTGGTTTGCCACTGCTTTATTCTGAGATGCTTTTTCAGCTTCCCAGTATAGCCTACAGCCCTAGGATTTCTGGGAGTTTTGAGCTCCTTTCTAACCAGGTGTGGTCTTGCTTAGCCTTTTTAAGGTCAGCTGCCTACTAAAAGCACAGCATGTTGACTGCAAATCTATAGATGCTGAATACAGTCCTGTGCCACCACCATCAGCATCAATTTGTTTATTAATTATAATCAAAGGCTCACTATATTCTCCATTTATAATACTGAAGGGAAATGGCATTCTGCACTGAAATGGGTCCTCTTCACACTGCAGGCAATCATCCTCCAAGTTGTATTATCAGAAGGCTACGTTTAATCCCGACTACCATGAAATGTAAGATCAGTGTCATCACCGAGATGAAAGTTCTCATTCTGGTTATGGCCCAACTAGGTTCTTCTGTAGCCAATTGTAAATTTATCCATCTGAATGTAACTCCGCCTTTTTTCAGTGTCAAAAGACTATCCATAACACAACATCCAGCAACAAAATATTAGCAACTGAGAATGTAATTCCAAAAACAGTGGGTGTTTTTTTAACAGTGTGGTTCAGCGTTTCTCAGGCATAGCAACTTTAAAATGTGTAGACGTCAACTCTCTGAATTCCCCAGCTGATGTAGGTGAGGAATTCCAGGAGTTGAGGTCTACATACTGTATCTTAATGTAGCCATGCCTGAGAAACACTGGTAATTAGTTCTTTATTTGGAAAGCATGGGATTTATTACCCAAAAAAATCCTGTGTGATTTCTTTTGAATTAGGCTAATGTGAATATATCCGCAGTAGCCTAAACTCAGTAAAAGTGCTTTTTTCCTCCCCCTGGAAACTTATTTCCCAGCTAAGTCAAAGTTTTTTTTTTAAAAAAAATACTCCTAAATAATTCTGCAATCTAATTTTCATGTTGCTTTTTAATGAATAAGATGTAAGCACCATCGACAGACTGCTTTGATTTTATGTTTTAGTTTGGAGATGTCATTTTGGCTATTCCATTTCCTGAAGTATAAACTGTCTTCATAATATCGTGTCCCGTTTTAACTGCTGCAGCAGGTTTGAGGGTGGGGAGGAGAATAGGATGTGTGTGAGTGCATTTGTTTATTTTTAGTGCTTCAAAAAGAAAAAAGAGAGAACCAACTTTGTGCCAAGCTCCTTATTACGGGTTTTAGGGACTCCAAATATCTCATGCTCAAAGGAAACTGAGTAATCAAGACTGGATGCAATTTCCTGTTTTAAAAAATAACCGATGGGAGGCAGAGCTTACAGGATAAGGGGAAGAGGCTGAAACTTGCCCGTTTGCTGCTAAACTTTCTAGACAGAACCAGGCAAGGCAGAGCTCCGGTGGTTGGACGCGTTTCCCCAGTTCTCGCTTTCTTTTACTTCGGAAAACTTCGAGAATTGTTCCGGGAGAAAAGTTAAAGCCTTTATAAAAAGGCTGCAGACAATCCAAGGTTCGCGCCTTTTGCGTTCTGAGCTCTGTTTCAAGAGGGCGAAGGTAGGAGCCGTGGAGCGAAGCAGCGGGAGAGAATTGCACGTGGAGGCGGCGGCGAGATGATCGTCCGCTGGTTCAAGCGCGGCTGAAGGCTCATCCCAAAGTAAGTCCCCTCCTCTCTCCCACTTCTTTTTTAAGACGTCCGTTTTGGGAAGCGGGGTGGAGGGCGGTGGGCTTGCGGAATTTCACAACGCCGAAGAGGTGGCTGGAGGCGGCGTTTGCGTGGGGTTGGGCTTTCTTCGCGAGGGGGACGATCTGGGGAGCGAGAGATTTTGGGAAGCCTGGGCTGGCGCGGGGCGGTTTCTCCAGCGAAGCGTCTGATTTATCCCCAGGGGTGAGCGTCTTGTGGGCCGGCCGGAGAGGGAGCGTCTTCAATGAACTTCGCCCTGTCTGTCTCTGTCTCTGCGAGCGGCGGCGGCGGCAGCGGCGTCTCCTCGCAGGGCTCCTTCC